CCGCGTGCCAAAGGTTGCCGATCCCTGGCTTATACTGAATCTCCTTGAATCAAGGGGTCCTGGTTGTTTTATGTTCTGTGCAAAATTTATGCTTTGTCATTTTCTCATCCTAGCACTTGAATATATACCTATGTGCCACTTTCAAATACTTTACTTTTCTACAGGAAAAAAATTGAGCCATTTTTTGAATGCAGATGGTAACACCACACATGTAACTACCCTCATAGTAGTAGTCCCATTGTTAATCATGTGCTTAAGACTTTACAGATATATCCCTTTAGTGGATACTTTTTACCATATACCACACACATTCTTTTAGTTTAAAGAAGTATTTTGAATCTCTCTTCTTGTAACTGTAATGACAGAAATCTAGACTTTAATGGCCTTCAGTGTAGTTATGCACCTATGAGCATGCACACAGAATCAGTTGTGGGCGAGGGGAATACAAAACAATAAATGTTGGTTTTGATTAATGTAATCTTGACTTCATATGATCTTTGCCCCACAGTACTTGATTTCTTATGTAATTATATTATGAATGTTTTTAATGTTTGCATGTTTAGTAAAAAATGAAATTCCCAGCTAAGGAGCTTTCAAACAACTGGTGTTCCTCCTGTTTGTTTAAAATGGCTTGCAGAACATGCTGTTCATGGAAAAAACCTCTAGATGTAGCTCTGTTTCTAAACCGATGCAGTTATGTGTGTGAGATTTCAGAAGCAGAAAAAAGAAATAATATTGGCTTTCTCTACTGTCTCTCTGGATTATTATCTAGAGTGAAACTCTAGCATCTTGGGAGGTAGTTGGCAAGTGACATACAATGGCACAGTGAGGTTTATTGTATATGTGCCCTATACGCAAGTCCAAATGGATAAAGCAGCTATTCATCTAAATGAGAGGGAAAACATGGCATGTAAATGGTAAGAAGGACAGTTAGCACAATAGGACTCTTTTCCAGATCGGGGCCTTTAGGCAGTACTGTAAGACAAGTAGTAATACATAATAATCATGTGGGCTTTGCCATGTTGTAGGCACTGCACCATAGAAGATAATTTATTTTCAGTTTGTAATGGAGGGCCTATTCTTGTACATTCATAGTCCCATGTGGACTGCTTTCTGAGATATTAATTCAACTTCAAAAGCAGTAAATTGACCAACTAAAAAAATCTTTTTGATTTTTAGATTTCGATTTTTAGATTTTACATCTCTATCCACTGTGTACACCCAATCACAGCAGGTGTGGGGTGAGGCTCTCTAAATATATCATATGCTTATAAACAGAAAATTGATGAATCATGCTTGTTTTACACAGGGGCACAACTCTTCAACGTCTCCTTGACAAATTTAACAGAACACTTTATCATCATAAACCTGATTTCAATGAGACCATCTGTGTAAATACAGCAGCCCAAATGATCTGTTACTAAAGTCAGTAGTGGTGGTATTAGTGGCCCAGCTCAACATTCATGGACTTTTTTGTCTAACATGGTGCTTGTAAGAAAAACATAGGCCCACTAGAAATTAGATAAAATAAAATTAAAAATAAAAATAAAATAAATTAATGGAGATATCCTATCTCCTAGAACTGGAAGGGACCTTGAAAGGTCATCGAGTTCAGCTCCCTGCCTTCACTAGCAGGACCAAGTACTAATTTTGCCCCAGATCCCTAAGTGGCCCCCTCAAGGATTGAACTCTCAACCCTAGGTTTAACAGGCCAATGCTCAAATCACTGAGCTATCCCTCCCCCCATAATAAATTAAAAACCTCCTGGGCCAAAAAGTATAGACTAAAATTATATAGTACTGATTCTTGTTTAGGAAAGTAGTGGTGGTATTTAGTTTTCTTATGTTAACACTGAGAAAATTATTCTCTGTTAATGTCACACTGATGTAATCTTGTTTGTATGTGAGCCTCCTACATCACAACAAATGAATAAATTGTTGTCCTTAGGATTTATTTCTTCATTTAGTGAAACTTTCTCCTTGAGGCTTTTTAACATACAGGGAAATCCAGATGAGGATAGAATATAACTTGGATTGCCTGGATGATTTTTAATTTTTTATCTAATTCCTTCTAGGGCTATGTATTTGCTACAAACAATGTGTACCTACACAATATGGGGAAGTTGCCAAATATGAAAATGTGTAGGAAAATGTCTGATAATGCAATAATGTTAAACTTTGTCTCAGCTATTGGTGATCTAGATATAAAGGTAGGATGTGCAGGATTATAGAAGAGTACTGAGAGTTCTGTTCTAAACTCTGCCTCTGGAGTTACTATAATTTTTGTCAAATCTTTCAATCACTGTACCTCAGTACTCTAAAATCAGTATTATAATATCTAGCACAGAGTTTGATTGTAATGTGTGGTATGTGCTTAGACCTAGAGTGTGATAAGTGATTTTTATCTAATTTTTAACGTAAATAAAACATGAAAAGAATGCCTATTCCAAACTCTAGGTATCCTTGTGATAGTTAATTGTATTTTTATGTTAAGACACAAACAGAAATAGCAAATCAAACAGCCTTTCTCCACACACAAGAATCTAGTCCCAAATCATATACTTTCCCACTTCAGTTCCTAAAAAATATGAATCCCTCCCAAATTCAAATCTACAACTTAATTTCCTCAACATTAGCCTTGTCCAAATAGCAAGGCTTGGCGGTAGATTTCCCACAAATTTCAGGCTGTTTCAGACCAGAGATGGTAGTGAATTTCGAAGTTAGGGGTCCTCATACAGAACACATTTCGAGCAGCTCCCTCTGTCATGTATTAAAAGAGCCAGAGCTTGAACACGACCTTTCGTCTAAAGCAGTGTTGAATGGTGGGAGCGGTTGGGTCTTTCGTGTGTCTCAAGCCAGTTAGGGCTTAATAAGACAGAAATGGTATCTTTACCTCCAGATGGAAATCCACAGGCAGGCCATGCGAATTCTAGAGCACTGCTATCATGTATTCATGGCAAAATGCACTGTGTTTATCAAGTTGGCCACCACTTCCTGTACCATCTTCAGTTTCTGAGTTAATTTGAGGACTAGCTCCATTGTAGTGTTCTGAATTGGCAAAGGCGTGGATGATTCTAGTAAGGCCTGTGCCCCAGAGATGGGATCACAAACTTCTGAGCAAACACAGACTGAGAAAAGTCACCCCGTTCATTGTTATGATTGTTTATCAGCAACTGGGAATATAAGACCCCTGAATTGTGAAGTTTTCTGACACACAGCTGAGGAGTTCTCTGTCAAATGGGGCTGAGATGATCTTTGCCATTTCCTCCAATTGCCCCTACTGACCTACTAACAGCCTCAAACAGCCCTCATGTCCCAATCACTACCCTGCACTCAGCCTCTTGCTATGGCTCATGCAACATATAAGTGTTCCAGCATACTGAAAACACTTAATCCCATGCCACCTTATGAACCCTGCATTGACCCTATGTGCACATTAACAGACAGAGAAGCCAGCTCTTGGGACTCTCATGGAGTCCCCAGGCGATGCTCAGGAACTGCTCCCCACAAAGCCAGTCAGGACTTTGGGGAGCCGCCTCCTCCCTTGGAGCAGACTGTCTTCAGGGCAAGAAGCTCACACAGCTTCACCTTCCTGGGTCTGACCTTGGAGCATTCAGCATATGCCCCTCCGTGTGCTTCCCATAACGAGTCCGCCCAGGTGGGGTCCTGGGGAAGCCAGAGGGTCCTGCACACACCTCCACTTCGCAGTGAGACGTGACTCATAGCCAGCCAGTAAAACAGAGGTTTATTAGATGACAGGAACATGGTCTAAAACAGAGCTTGTAGGTCCAGAGAACGGGACCCCTCAGCCGGGTCCATTCTGGGGCCTAGCGAGCCAGACAACCCCGTCTGCACTCACTCCCCGTCCCCAGCCAGCTCCAAACTGAAAACCCCCTCCAGCCCCTCCTCCTCTGTCCTTTGTCTCTTTCCCGGGCCAGGAGGTCATCTGATCTTTGTTCACCTTTAGCCAGTCCCTTGCAGGGGGAAGGGCCCCAGACATTTGTTGCCAGGATACAGGGTGTCGGCCATTTATGCACACTGGAGACTTAAGAAATGCATAGGGGAAACTGAGGCGCGCACACACAGTATTCAGCGGAAACATTAAGCACAGTCCCACTTTGTCACAGGGACAAAAAAGCAATTACCCAAAACGATCCTCTACCTTATCTCTTTCCTCTCAGGTCTGAAAGCAAGTAAATACTACTTATTCTATGTAGCCTAGTGGACTGCACGATTGGCTGGGAGTCAGGAGACCTGGATTATATTCATGGCTCTGCCACTTGCCTGCTGGTGATCTTAAACAAGTCACTTTAATCTCTGTGCTTCAGTTTCCCCATATGTGAAATGGGGAAAAGGATGCTGAGCTCCTGTAAAGCACTTTGGGATCTACGGATGAAAAGGACCATGTAAGCGCTAGGTGGTGGCATTACTATTTATTCAGTTAGAAGCTAATAGTTCTAATATTGTTACGTTAACTAGTCTTTAGCCAGGAGAAGATCTTCTAGCTCACCCAGATCCTTAGGGAGCAGTGCCAGCCTAAACTCAAACAGAAGGGAGCCCAGAAGTTACGTTCCCAAGATCTTGCTCTTCCATGGAAAGCTCTATATGAATTAGAGGAATTTCCCCCTCCATAATCACACTGTTTCTTCCCCAGGGGTAAAGGGGCACTTGAATCAGTTCATAGGAGAAGAGAGCACAGATAAAGCAGGCTGTCCACAGCACAGACTCTTTGCTATTTGAGATTTTGTAGGTGTTCTGGTGGCAAAGAATCCTCTGTCTTAATTGCTTCCTGTACAGGCTCAGTACACTGTAGCTAGTATTATTAGAATTTGAACATCAGATCAAACTTCAAATGCGATTTTTTTCCCCCCAGTATTTTGCAATTTTTATTAAAGCATTTTCTTACATTCTGCTTCTGTTGGGGGATAAGCAGACTTAGGATCAAAGCCAGAATCCATCCAGCCATAGTGCTTCTTACTGTGGTAAATAAGTATGTCTTGCTCTTTCCCACACCAAATGTTTCATGTCATTGCCAATTAATTCTCCATTAGCCTAGTGGTGGGAGTCTCACTTTCTTATCTAGGCTTCTGAATAGAGGCAAGGCAAAACATTGCATAATATGCTACTGTGCCAGCACTTTAATTCAGTGGATCTCCCACTCCTTCCTGGGATAATTTACACAAACCACCACCAATTAGGGTGTCTGCTGTGGAAAGTAAGCCGGTATCTTCATACCATCTAATGGGTTAAACTAGCATTCATTCTCTTTAGTGCACCTCTCAGAAAGGCAATGATATACTGTAGAACTGACTTGCTATTGGTACAAATCAGAAATATATCTACCATTGTAAATATTTTCTCTTTGTGGGTTTTCAAGAATAAATTTCAGCTGCTTGAATAGTTTTCAACCGGTTGCGATATTTTCGCTCCATACAAATCAGCCGTTTAAGATGGAGTCTGACAGACTGTCATGTTGAGTTTACAATTTACATAATCAAAAAAACAAAGCCATAGAGGACCTTGTTTCAAGTGATAGGGTTCAAAATGCAGCATGTAATTGGGAGGATAAAGAATAAAAAGCCAGAGGCTTTGAAAGACTAAGATAAGGTCCAGAGTCATTCATATAGTGAACTTTTTCAAAAGTTGGTTAAGCTCTTGTTATAAGGCAGTATTTAAATAGCTTTTTTCCCCCACACCCCTTCAATTTATGGTCCAAAATGTTAACCTTGGTTTTGATAGGTTTCAAAGTTGGATCAAACCGTGAAAGTGTTAGTTTGTAGAGAAACTAATAATCTTCTTTCTTGAGCTTTATTTTTTTTTTAATATAGTTTGGAAAAAATGTCTTTAAAATGGTCTGCTGTATAAGTGTAAACCAGATTTAATGCTTTAGGATCAATAATCACTTTATAGCTTGGTGTGTGTTGCCTTAAAATTGTTGTTAGAGCAGATGTTTGTAAACCTAATGGAGTGATCATCAGTTATTCTTATTGGCTTTCGTAAAATGACGCAAGACCCTGGAATGTCCAGTGTTAAAAGCAGTGTTATTTTGCAGTGGCGAATTTGTGGCAAAAATGTATTGATGTTGTATGTTTAAAGAGAATCTTGATGTAAACTTTTTTGAGCGTGTTGGAAATTTTTTCTCCTTATCCTTAAATACGTTTTAACCCCCATCCCTGGGAAAGCATTAATTTTAGTTCTTTTTAAACATATCTGATTATGATTTTAGGGTGGGTAAAGGAGAGTGATCTTTTTGCATTTAAATATTCTAACTCTTTCCATTCAGGTAACAGTGAACCCGCCTAATAGAACACCTGATGCTGTACTTTCTGATGTTACTACAGCTGATCAGGTAAAGTTTTACTTTTTCAAGGAAGGAAAGTTTCTTTATCAGATTTACTTGGGGAAATCTCCTACCCCTGTCCCTCCTTATTTTTAATAAATTCTCTATTTTCACTAAAATAAAGTTATAAAGTGTTCTGCTTTGGAATATCATAACTCTGTGTATTTAAACTTTTATGTATGATGTTCTTTGCTTTTGTAAGGCTTATAATCTTATCAAGTTTTTCTAATGTAAAAATGCTATATAATGGGAAAGAGGCTAAAATGATTAGCATGTCATGTTGTATTTGTGAAAAATAATTTTCATTAGAATAGGAATTTTTGAAAACGTGTACCAATGCCTGTGTGTGACAAGATATGGAACAAAGTAACACTGGTGGTTCAGAACACTGTTGCTGAGTGATGCAGTCAGAATGTTGTTAATGTTTTTTAAAGCATACACTCATCTTAACCTCTGGTTGCATATATAGAAATTAAAAACAAAAACAGTGAAACCTTTTGACAAATGTCAGTCCAATTGCACTTCCCTCTGCCAAGATCCACACTTTTAATACTTCAAGTACAATCATTTCCCCCACAGCAAAAGCCTGAATAAATAGATGAGTCTTGCATCGTTTTTTGAAGGTCAACAGATAATAAAACAAATTCAGAAGCTAACAGCAGTCCATCAATAGAGCTCTGGGTGAAAATATCAAAAGTGTCTAAGGACCATTTTCAAATGCAACTTCTAGTCCCTTTCGGAGCCGAAGTTCCATTGACTACCAATGGAACTTTGGCTCTTAAGTGCTTAAGTTACCTTTTGAAAATGAGAGCAAGCTCTTAAGTGACTTCAGTGCTTTTGAAAATTTTACCTGTTTGTTTTTTTAAATGTTTAAAGTTAGGGACTGTTAGTAAAAACCCCAGCTGATCTTGTTACTCAGCCATCATGTTGGAGCCAAGGGAGGGAGGCATTTTCTGCAAGTTAGGATTCAAACTATGTATGGCTTAATATAAACACCTTGAATGCAACTGCAAGCCAGCTCCGTCTTCCAAGAATAGATGTGGCATTCAGCACTCTGGTAATGGGTCCTGTTAAGTGAAAGCTGTCACAATTGTAGGGCTAGCTGCTTCTGTGTCCCCTTTCTGGTCTCTGAATTCACCCCCTCAGGTGTCAGACCTCATGTCCTTACCTCTTCTGGGTGAAATAGCTTTATTCTCCCACTCCTAGACTGGGTCCTGAGCTATAGTACCCTGTGTCTCAACCATGCATACCCAAACTGTCTGACTTAGTTTGGTATTCCTTGTCAGGAGTCTGACTAGTGGTGAATAGAGTGACCCAACAGCCTTCATAAATCAAAGCATGGTTTCACTGAAACAATAGGAACAAAGCATGACCTAAGAGAAAAAGGATTTGAGAACAATAAATAAGTCATACGTGTCTGTATGACATAAATCCCCACCATCCTGTGATGGTGATGGAGCCACGCCTAGCTTCTTCAAAAATCCACAGCCAGTGTGACAGTCGCTCCAGCTCCCAGACAACATCCTTTCCCCTAGACAGAGTGTGTTGCTTTTTATCCAGCAGAGTTCCTTTCTCTTCTCAGTTCCCAGATGTTTTGGCCCTGCTAATCAAAAACCAGCTTGGTGGCCCCAGTATAAAGTTGAGTCAGTCTCTTTAGGGCCAGTTGCTCTCCCATTGCCCTGTAACAGCCATCAGATGTTTGTTGAAGCTATTGTTTTGCTTTCCCGTTTGTTTCCCAATAAGCTTGCTGATTTAGCTTACTATAGTCATACAGTAAACACTGTAATAACTGGGTTGATATACAGTATCCATAAATTATTACAGAACAGATGTACATCTCGCAAGGACCCATTTAAACTTTTATTGAAGTCAATAGACTCTGAATATCTTCAGTGGGAGTTGCATTAGGTCCTAAATTGGCATTGAACATTGAGAAGCTTCAAGGGTTGTTCTATATTGAGACAACAAAGAGACAAATAACTTTGTAAAAGTCCATGTCCAAGAGGGAGGGAGGTTGCAACTTTTACCTGTATGCAGATGCAGATAAAATGGTACTTTGCTCTCCGAACCAGGGAAAGAGAGCCTTGGAACTGAGTGCTGTTAGAGTGCTAATACCACTCCAGGCCAGTCATCTTACTCTTTGTGTGCATATTGAACAAAATGTATGACAGAATGGAACCCTACAACACCCTATACAGGGGAATCATTCCACAAAGAGGTCATTTTTTGTATCAGTATTTTTCTGTCCTATTGCATTAATATGTACAAACATGGACGCACTGGAGTGGACAAACAAGGACTTTTCTGGCCTGCTCTCAATCTAATCTGAACAATGGTTTACTGCATTCACTGCTGTAAATCTTTGAATAAAATGGAATTTTTGACAGAAGATCAAAAAAGTCCAGAAAGCGTTTGACTATTAGTAGTTTAACAAGAGATGAATCATTCAATTTCAGCCCCATAGGGGACACTTAATGTAGTTATAGAGCCTGCAGTATCATCTAGTTACTCTTGTCCTGTCAGTTGTCAACCTGATAATTTAAATGATTGAATGGAAATAGATTCCACTAAATGATGAATCAGGCAGTTAAAATACACAACCTGTGATACATATCTAGTTAGACTTGCTCCTTTTTACCCTTCTCCAAAATGTATTTTTAGCATCTTAGAAACATCTTTCATTGGTGAGATACTTACACAATAAGTAGCAATGAGTAGAAAATTATGCAGAAAAATTGACTTGGTCAGATGATGCTCTTCATAGCTTTCTAAGTAACGCAATAAGATGATGTTTGTAACACTACCATGTGTGTTGTGTGTCTGCTTCAGATATGATCTATGATTCTTTTTCTCCTGGGGAAACAGGTGGAGTGGAATGAGTTTTTAATTAACTTTGGTAGTGGATATAATGTTCTGAATTTACAATGCTGGAGGTGAGGCTGGTCGATAATAAAAATGGGAAAGATTTTTCAAGAACACATCTTCAGCAGTTGTAATTTTCTCTCTTTTATATGCAACTTGTTCTCTTTTCTTCCACTGTCATTGATGGTGCACACTTAAGTGAGAAATCTACCCAACTACAAGCAGAGGTAGAAGTACTATGTGGTGTCAAATAACCATTTGTATTTCTTCAATAAAATATCTGATATTATATCAGCTGCAGAATTCTTTTCTACTGGTAAAAGTAGTATTAGATACATTGGGCATGAGCTCTATAGTTCTCTATGGTGGGTTTTGACTATGAATATTCTGTGGGTGCTCTCTCTGTCCGTGGAATTCTCTTGGATTTTGGTGGTGGCTCTGTATGAGTAGGCTGAGCTATTTTAGTTAAATTTGAGTATATAAAATGTATCACTAACTTTGCAGCCTAGCAAGATCATATATCACGCCGTTAACTATGCAGTGGAAAAGTCTTATGGTTAAAGCACAGTACTGAGAGTCGGACCTTGATTCTACTCTCATTGTGAGAACTTGGGCAAGTCACTAAAGGCTTGTTTACAGAGTGTCTTAGTCCTTGCTGTCTGGGGTGTAAATTCTAGTGCACACCAGTGTATTGTGCACTCACTGTGTCATGTGGACCCTTCTGGTGCATGCAAAAAGTTCCCTAAGGCACATTACTGTAATTGTGTTTCAAATAGTACTACATTAACATGCACTATGGAAATTTTAGTGCCTCCAGCAGGGTCCACATGGGCCAGCTAGCACATAACATGCTGGTGGGCATTAGAATCTACACCAAAGCTATTGGGGACAAGCCCTTAACCTCTTCTGTGCTTCAGTTTATCTATCCGTAAAATGATAATACTTATGTCACAGGGGTATTTAGATTTTCATGCTAATTTTTATGCTTCAGCATGCCAAAAAGTTGCCTGACACTTCCCATTATAAGACCCTGTTTTCAGTTTCTTATAACTATGCCAAACTTCAGTCTTGTGTTGAAATTTTCCAAGATGAGTGTCTGCTTCAAACTGAATTAATGTTGGAAAGCTTCAGCAAAAACAGTTAAGCTGTTTCTCAGAATGAGATTTGGGACAAACACATTTGTTTGGACTATATTAAAAAAAATCATACAGCTGTTTTCTTGAGAAGCTTTAGCACCTCTATGCTTTTAAACAGGAACTTGTAATTTGACAGGGGATTGCCCTGGGGCGAGGTACGTGTCTGTTGCTCTACTTATGAAATTCGACCCAAATTTGGCAGCTAATTTATCCAAAAATCATAGTTTGTGCATGTTCAGTCAAAGCTTGTTAATTTGGCAGCTAAATTCTCCAGAGACTCCATCCCGGAGCTGAGCCGGACTTTGTATGCAATTTCTGCTGGTAGGGACCACAGTGACACTGAACTGGGAGACTGGCCCCCTTCTCAGATCCAGGCAGCATGGAGGAAGAGGAGCAAGCAGCCTGAATCAATAGCAGTGATGGCCTGGGGAAGGATGGAGGTAGAGGCCAAGATTAGGCTAGGGAGCCAGAGGGGCACAGCAACAAGAACATTTTGAGTTGTGTCAGGCTAGGGGGACAGAAATGGGTGGGAAATGGGTATAGCAGCAGGGGGACACAGACTGGGGTGAGAGGACATACTAGGGGAATAGAGGAAAAGGGGGTTGAAATACAGCATCTGGATTTGAAATTGTCATTCCTGAGACTCAGCATTTGTTTGCTGTCTAGCTAGTAACTACGAAACCCACTGGCACAGGATGTGTTATATTACCTTCTAGTGAAGCGGTTCTCAAACTGGGGTCCAGGCCCCAAAGTGGGTCGTCACCCTGTTTTAATCATCATTGCTCTGTACAATATTAAATTTCCCTGAAACCTACCCCCCCGCCCCATTTACATTAATTCTTATGGGGAAATTGGATTCGCTTAACATCGTTTTGCTTAAAGTTGCATTTTTCAGGAACATAATTACAATGTTAAGTGAGGAGTTACTGTATCTGTCGGGGCCGTGCATGTCCCCTGTGCTGCCTCATGCTCCTGAACAAGGGCATAAAGGGCCGGGTCGTCACGACCCTT